TTAACGTTGGCAACTAATTGTTCTCGCCCTGACTGAGTCAAACAAAGCATTCCAAAGGGCGGAATCTAGCTCAGGGCCACCTGTCCAGCCCTTGGGTCTGTAACCTTGAGCGCCCATGACGTTAGATTCTCAGGAGTTAACAGGCCCCAAGGACCTGGCCCTCCCTCTGGGGTTTCCAAACAGGAGAAGATAACAGGAGGAGAGAGGAAGTTTCTGCTGAGCAGTTAGGACTGCTGTGTACTTTATATGGTTGTGCATTTTATTTAATTCTTATGACAATGATGGGACATATGTGCTCTTCTCCAGATCACACAGATAAAGAAAGTGATGCTTGAACAGTTTAAGAGCTAGCAACCATATTGGTAGAACTGGGATTCCAACTCGGCTGCTGGAGACCCAGCCCTTGATTTCCCCCCACCCCGGCCCCCGCCACCTCCCTTCTGCATTAAGAAAGGCCAGTTAATTAATTAATTTTAAAAAAAGGAAGGCCAGGCTGACGGCTAAGAGAATTCTTCTCCCACGGTGACAGAGGAGTATGAGGCTGACAAGCCCGTCTGGGGCCTTCTGAGGCTTTGCACCGCTGTGATCCCTCCCATCGACTGGGTGATTTTCCACTTTCCAAGTACTTTCACATACATTAGCACATGTCAAGCATTTTTGGTAGGTATTACTGTTCCCCTTTTATGGAAGGAGAAACTGAAGTGAAGCTGTTTGCTCCATCACAAACCTGTAAGCAGGGAGCATGGGGATTTCCAGAAGGCTCCTGCTTCCTGGCAGAGAGCTACTTTTACTGTGTGCATTTTGTCTCCAGGCTGGAGGAGGGGAAGGAGCCTGAGGTGGGAGAAAGATGGGGAGAAGAGCAAAGCCCACTTGGTGACCGCTGATGGAGTGTTGGGGACCAGGCTGTTGGAGAGGGGTACGGCAACCTGTGGAGTAGGGAGTTGGAAGCCCCAGGTGCAGGCTTGTGGTGGCCTCTTTACCAGAACCTTCTGCAGCTGCAACCGACACCCTCTGCGAAAGGGGTTGGGGGTAGGGCTTGGAGATGGGGGAGGTGGGGGAGGGGGTGACCGAGGCTGTTGTTGGGAAGCAGAGTCTTAGAGTGCTGACCCACTCCCGGACTACATTCCGGGAGTGTTTGGGAAGCAGAGTCTTAGAGCGCTGACCCATTCCCGGACTACATTCGGCAACTCAGAGGGAGGCTCCCGGGCCTCTTGCCTCCCATGGGAGGTTGGAGCAGGCAAATTTCAGAGCTCGGCCTGGGCTCAGCCAGTTGGCACCTGCAGCCCTTGGAGAAACTGTCAGCCACAGCAGCTAGAAGCCATGCCTGCCCCAACCCCACTGCCTTCAAAGTCAGGGGCGCACTGGCAAACGTGATCTAAATGAGCACAATATGGCCTCTTGCCTGACACACTTGACTTGGCGAGACCCTGGAATTCGTTTGGCTTCCAGAAACTCTGGCCGTAGACAGTAGAGGAGGCTATCAGGCCCATTGCAGTGCTAGGGATGGAGGAACTCAGATGGAGGAACTCCTTCTCCTCATTTGACCTCTCTCCCTTTCAGGCACTGTTCCCCCATGAGAGACAAGCTATCAAGCTATCATAAGCAAAATGGCCCCCAGTGATTCTCGCTACTTCCAATTCACACCATGTGTTGTCCCCTCCCATATTGTATCAGCACTGGTCTGTGTGACCAATAGACTAGGGCAGAAGTGATGGTATATCCCTTTCTTGATGAGGTTATGAAGACTCGATAGCTTTCTTCTTGGCCACTTTCTCTCCCTGAGGAAGCCAGTTGCTATGTCGTGGGCAGCCTTATGGAGAGGCCCACTCAGGGAGGGACTCCAGCCTCTGACCAGCCACCACCCGAGAAAGCCTTTTTGGAAACAGATCCTCCACCTTGGCCAAACCTTCAGATGACCACAGCCCTGGGCCACATCTTAGCAGCCTCACAAGAAACCCTGCACCAGAAGCACTCCACTAAGCTGCTCTTAGCTTCCTGAAAGTGTGAGATCATATGTTTATTGTTTTAAATTACTGACTTTTGGGGTGACTTTTATGTGGCATTAGAGCATCTATTTTTTTAACTTCATTTTTTTTAAGATTTTATTTATTTACTTATTGGGGTGCCTGGGTGGCTCAGAGGGTTAAGCCTCTGCCTTCAGCTCAGGTCATGATCTCAGAGTCCTGGGATCAAGCCCCACATCGGGCTCTCTGCTCAGCAGGGAGCTTGCTTCCCTCCTCTCTCTGCCTGCCTCTCTGCCTACTTGTGATCTCTCTCTCTGTCCAATAAATAAATAAAATCTTTTTAAAAAGTAAAATAAATAAATAAATAAAAATTTTATATTTATTATTATTATATTTATTATTATTTTATATTTAAATATAAAGATATTTATTTATTTTATTTATTTATTTGGTTGGTTGGTTTTTTGTTACTTATTTGACTGAGAGCCAGAGAGAGCCAGAGAGCACAGGTAGGGAGGGGGTGGGTGGGAATAGCAGAGGGAGGAGAAGCAGGCTCCCAGCTGAGCAAGGAACTGGGATCATGACCTGAGCTTAACCACTGAGCCACCCAGGCACACTGCTTCCTTCCTTTTTAACAAGGGTTTAAGATGATCCCCCACCCCAGCCCCCACTGAAGTTTCCTGAGCTCCCTGCCTCTTTCATGTCCCTTCCCCTCCAGGACCCCAACCTGGAACACTGGTTTGCCAATGAACTTGGAGATGCAAGATAAATTCAGCTAGCTCCCTGGGGGGTCTTAAGCAGACAGTAAGAGTCTGAGGTTATCCTGCCAGATGGGGAATGGAGCTTTGTGGGGAAAGGGGAGGAGCAGAAATGTGTCACCCCTAGGAGAGACCCCACAGAGGAAGAAGTAAGAATGAAAGGAGGAGCCCTATATGCCCAAGCCCCATGCCCTTTCCTCCTTCTACCCTTTGCTCTTTTTCTTAGTGGGTAGAGGAACCAGGTGGCCTTTCATTCTGCCTTTGTCCCCTCCCTGTCCCCTTGGTTCAGGAGCATGGGGAAGTCCCCACATAGACAACGGTGAATCCTTGATCTCATCAGCCCAAAGGGCATAGGTTGTTACCCAGCAGAGAGGAAAATTGCCACCCACAGAACTTTCCAGGAAACCCCTGCCCCATTAAAACACGGGGGCTCCCACCACACCCTAAGGAGAGCAGGGTCACAGGGCAGACCTGAGATGTCTCCTCAGCCACTGTCCCCAGCCCACAGCAAAGGGTGGGAAAGATGCTTTCGAGGCTTCTCGAAGGAACTTCAGGACCTAACCTTACAGTGTGATGATCTCTGGTCAGTGTCAGAGCCTCTCTCTGTGCCACTGTTTCTGTGACAAGGCAACGGTTACCACCAACCTAAGGCTCGGAAACTCAGGTTGTTTTAAATGGTTCATTACTCAGGCTTCAGAGGGTGCCCCTCGCCCTCTAAGGTTCTGCCCAGAACAGAGGTATCCCCAAGTCTCGGGCCACTGTGTCTCCACAGGGATAACTTCAGCCTCCTGTTTTGTGTCACTGGGCACGTGGCACCCAGGCGCAGTGGGATACCTAGTAGGGTCTCTGCCATAGCGCCTGTACATGACACCTTATGCCCCCCACTCCTGCAGGCTCACTCCCACTCCCTACCAGTCTTTGTTTCCTCCAGTCCAGGGTTAAAATGCCCTGGCAGAGCTGTGTGCGGCTGAGCCCTGCGTGTATCACAGAGGGACCTCTAGGTTCCTGGGGGTGGGGGGTTGCTGGGGGCCCGAGGCTGTGTGCGCCTTCTGTGGAAGGACGGCTCAGGTAAATGTTCTCTCCAAGACAGAGACAGACAATGAGGGAGGCAGGCAGGCTCGTGGGGGCTTCTGTACCCTTCCTGACGTGACCAGGACCCGCCGGCTTCCTCCTTCACAAATGGGTGATGAGACAAACAAATCATATGCAGGGGGGCACCTCGGTTTTCAAAGCCCTTTGACCATCCAATACTCACAGCAACCCGTTTTCATGGGTTATTATCATTATTCCATATAATAGGAGGAAACCGAGGCTGAGGAGATCAGCAGAGATAGGATCAGAAGCCAGGTCTCTGGACTCCTAAAGCTTCACCATCGCCAGCAGTCTTGCTGGCCATTTTTCTCCCCACATGGGGCCTTTGTTCACAGCACTCCCCTTTGTCAGATTCGGATCATAACCTTCTGCCGCCGGGGCTCTGTGTCCTGAGGTGGGCATGGTTCAGTCCCTCTCCTGGAGAGTGCCCTGGCTAGGTGACCGTGGCTTGGTGCACACACATACGCAGACCGTAGAAAGTGAACCCCCCCCCCCCCGAGGTGGTGCCTGAACGCAGGGATCGGGGCCTGTCTGGACCACTTGGGCTGTTCATCTCCTCCAGCCTGCCCCCGCCTGCCCAGCGACCTCCCATGCTATGATAAGCAGTGACCACCGGGTGGCAGTGTGTTCTCGTGCCTGGGACCAGACAAGTTGCCCAGAGCCAAGGAACATGGGGGTGGGGAGGAGGCAAGCAGGAACCTCAGCCAGCTGCCCAGAAAGGTTGCAAGACCTGATCCCCTGGAGGACGTGACATAGCAGGGCTCCTCCGTGTGTGTGTGTGTGTGTGTGTGTGTGTGTGTGTGTGTGCGCGCGCACGCGCACTGCAGCAAAAGGGCCAAGGACAATGTGAAATGGAGCCAAGTGTGGGATGGGGTGGGCCAGGGGAAATACAAAGGAAACCAGGGCAGCTAGCATAATACAAGCGAAGGACCCACTAGAGAGCTTTAGAGGTAAGGGGTGAGGGCTTTTTCGGAGCTTCAGAAAAACGACTACCAGGGGAAAGAGAGAGAGAGCAAGAGAAAGACCAAGGCAGAAAGAATCACGAAGAGGCCAGGAACAGAAAAGAGGAAGATAAGAGAGATTGGCTGGGGAAAGTAGGTCGGAAGGCTGAGGTGGGAGAAGGGAGCCCCCAGAGGCTGGGCAGAGACAAGAACCTTCCCTGGACAAGAAGGAGTCAGACTCGGGCTTGCTGCTGATGGGGAGTTTATTTGGACCTAGTTGTGCAGATCTGTGGGCTTCCAGGTCAGAGTTTCTCTGGCTCCAGCTCCAACTCCGGTTCGGGCTCTGGCTCCAGTTCGGGCTCTGGCTCCAGCTCGGGCTCTGGCTCCAGCTCCAATTCCAGCTCCGGCTCTTGCTCCAGCTCCCCTAGCTTGCTCTGAGCCTGAGGTGGGTGAGTCCCATGCTCCAAGGCAGAGAATCTTCTCTGAAGCCACTGTGGGAATTCGCGGAGGGCCAGTGGGGAGAAGGATGAAGGGAAAGAGAATAAGGAGGATGCCGAGTGTGTCTGTTCTTTCCCAGATTCCTGCCCTTCCCTATCCCGTCCCAGGCCTTTTCTCAGCCCCTTCAAGCCTCCCTTGGGTCCTCCAGGCACAAGGAGTCCCTGGAGAGGCTTAGGAAGGCGGGCGGGGGGGTGGAGTGCTCTGAAGGCAGGATAAGGAGTCCACCTCGGTCATCTTCCCTGAGGAAGGGGTGCCACTCAGAAAACTGAAGAGAGAGGGGCGCCTGGGTGGTTCAGTGAGTTAAGCCTCTGCCTTCGGCTCAGGTCATGATCCCAGGGTCCTGGGATCGAGCCCCGCATCGGGCCCTCTGCTGGGCGGGGAGCCTGCTTCCCCCTCTCTCTCTGCCTGTCTGTCTGCCTACTTGTGATCTCTGTCTGTTAAATAAATAAATAAAAATCTTAAAAAAAAAAAAAAAAGAAAGAAAGAAAGAAAAAAAGAAAACTGAAGAGAGGGGAGGCCAGTGGCTGGCGGGGCCTGAGGGGTGTCCCCAGCTCACCTGTCTTCTCCAAAGGTGAAAGCCAAAGGCTCCAGTCATCAAAAGCAGAGAGAGAATACCAAGGATGAGAAAGAGAGGAAGATGGCCTGTGTTGGGGGCACCTGGGGCCCTCCCAGAGCGCCGGGCACCTAGAGAAGAAGTACATTAGGCACAGGGTCAAAGGATATCTTGCCACCCCACATATGTTACAGAGGCAGACATCGAGGCCCAGAGTTTGGGGACTTATCCAGGATCATGAGCTAATGAATGGTGGAAGGGGGTTGGGGCCTGGACAAGAGCTGGAGGTTAGAAGAAAAGATCTGGAATGCGGGTGGGCAGGGAGGGGTCTAGAAAATGGGATCAAGAGGACTGGCCTGGAGCGGGTGCCGCGGCGTTGTGGGGTCTCAGACCTGGGCCAGCCGGCTCAGAGAGGTACACCGCTGTCCCGAGAAGCCTCTCCCCGTGGTACACCTGGCACTGCCAGGGCTGGGAAAGGAGTCTGGCTTCCGGTATCTCCAGCCAGGGTCCTGAGGAACCTCTCCAAGACTGCTTATCCGGGGGGCTCCACACAAAGCGCTCTCGTCCCGACGCCGGGGTCACCTCACAAAGCAGTTTTCTCAGCTTGCCAGATAACCCGAAGGATTTGGGAGTCACTGAGAAAAGCAGAGGGAAGAGATCTTTGGGGGCCCGGCCCCCTTACTTGAAACCATAGACTCAACTTCCCAGTCTCTATCGCCTGGCTCTCACCTGGACTCTGATTGGGTGAGGTTGAGGGGAGGAGATCGGGGGTCAGGGCCAAATTAATCTTATCAAGACAAAGCTCTGGGCAGATCACTCTGCAGTTCAAAAGCTGTCCAGGCTCTTTACTGCCTTCGGGGACTATTCAAACTCAAGCTGGCCCAGAAGGATCACATAACAAATACCATCTTGGATTCTCTTACACAACTTTCTACTCAAATGCTCAGAAACCTCAAGATTGGTCAGGTGTGTTGGGCCCCCCACACACACCTTACACTTTTTGTTTTGTTTGTTTTGTTTTGTTTTCATGACTAGGCTCACATCAGTGCCCCCTGAATGAACTGTGCCCCCTTTTCTGAATCTTCAGACAACAGTGAACTGACCAGCACATCTATACACAGAGCATCTCAAAGCTGTAGAGTGAGAAGAGAGAGGGCAGGGAGGGGGACACCAGTGGTGAAGGGTCTTGAGCTGAGCATAGTGGTGGAGGCACCTGAGGGTTTGGTGACACAGACACCAGACTTTAGGCCGCAAGGCTGGCACTTGCTGGCCGTGTGACTTAAGTAAAATCCCTTCTCTATAAAACAGGGGCAACAATCTCTTCCGGTGAGCTGTGGTGCAGAGAACCTGGACAAGTAACACAAAATAGCTGACCCTCAAGAAGACCTTGGACGGGGGCGCCTGGGTGGCTCAGTGGGTTAAAGCCTCTGCCTTCGGCTCAGGTCGTGATCCCAGAGTCCTGGGATCGAGCCCCGCATCGGGCTCTCTGCTCGGTGGGGAGCCTGCTTCCTCCTCTCTCTCTGCCTGCCTCTCTGTCTACTTGTGATCTCTATCTGTCAAATAAATGAATAAAAAAAAATTTAAAAACAAAAGAAGAGCTTGGACAGAGAGAATTGGGAGGCTTTGTGGGCTGACTGGATGTGGAAGAAACAGGAGGCCAGTTTCAGGGGGAGTGGGATGCAGTTACTGACAGAAAGGCTAAGTCAGCAAGAGGACACACGGTGTGAGGAAAGGATGGGGCTTGGAGTGAGGCTGGGCTGTGGGTATGACATATAAGCAGAGCTCTCCTGGAGCAGGTGGAAAGTCAGCATTGGCCCTTGGGAGATGTAAGACCTATTAGCATATTCACTGATTTGCTGAACTAATGTACCTTTTTTTTTTTTTTTAAGATTTTATTTATTTGACAGAGTGGGACACAGCAAGAGAGGGAACACAAGCAGAGGGAGTAGGAGAGGGAGAAGCAGGAGCCAACCAGGGAGCCCGATGTGGGGCTCCATCCTAGGACCCTGGATCATGACCTGAGGCCTTCAGGCACCCCTAATGTACATTACTGAGCACCTACTATGAGATGTTATGGTTCAGTGACCACAGGTGAACACTAAACACACAGCCCAGCTGTCGTGGCTCATAGTTACCAATCCATCAACACATACTTTCTAAGTTTTTGGGTTTTGTTGTGTGTTTTTTTTTTTCCTGTGTTTATGTTATACTCTCTTTAAAAAAAAAAAAGAAAGAAAGAAAGAAAGAAAAAAAAAGCCCTTGCTCTGTAAATATTTGCTGACCAAGGGACTGATTTATTAACTCCTCCCAAATCCAAACCACTTCCTGCAACTTGAACCCAAGCACTGGTCCCCAAGTAGAGGAGGATTCTAGAGATAGAGTCCCCCTCTTTTGAACCATTCAAACTTTTGCCACCTCTCCTTCTAACTTCTCAGACCCTCCTCCCAATTCACAGCAGGGGAGTCCCTTAGAGGAGAGTGGAATGTTCACCTAGTGACTCAGGGGAGATTTTCAGTTTCAGTTCTTTATGTGGGGGCGAGAAAGGAGGAGGCCACCAGGGCTGCCTCTGCGGCTTGTGCCCACTGGCCTAGCATCATGAATCGGATCTGCCCAGTCTTGGCCCAGCCAAGGCCTGGCCTCCCTGTCCCAGCTCCCCTGTGATGGGAGTTCCTTTCCCACCTGGGGCTGACCTGTGATGACTGCCAGAGTGACTGTAGCACTGAGCTGCTCTCCCTGCAGATGGATGCGGCAGGTGTAGGCCCCCGCCTGGGCCTGGCTCACAGCCTCCAGTTGGAGGGTAAAGTTGCCATTGTCTCCAGCCACCAGGAGGTCAGGGCCTCCCCCGGGAGGGCTCCACTTGGCAGTGAGAGAAGACTGGGTCCCCACACCAGGGGGCAGGCAGCAGGGTAGGTCCACCCTGGAACCAGCTCCAGTGTATACCGTCAGAGGCCCTGAGGGCTCCAGACCTGGGGAAGAAGGAGAAGCTAAAGTTGAAGCAAAGAGGGGAGGTACAGAGAGGCTTGAGCAGGGAAGCGAGGCAGAAGAGCAAAGGAGGGGGTCTGGCTCTGAAGAGCCCAAGGGAGCAGAGTAATGTGGGTGAACTGGGGATGCTCAGAGCCCCCCACGTGGGCCAGCAGGAGACCAAAGGCTGCCAGTGAGGCTGGATGGCCCAGGGAAAAGCCGGGAGTGTGGAAGGCAGCTAAAATGTTGCAATGCAAAGTAAAAGTGAGGCCCAGAGCATTCACGGTGGGCTCTAGCTAGCTGCTGGAGACCTGGTCTGGGGACCCAGAAGTCAGGGTGAGGTGATGGTGGGCAGGGAGGGGTTGTGGCCAAGGGTGAAGGCAGCCCGAAGAAGTTACCCAGAACCGTGAGGTTGTGCATGAGGGAGACATTGAAGCCATCTCTGTAGGTGAGGATGCAGCCCCACAGCCCAGAGTCTGAGGGGCTGACTTGGGGCAGGAAGAGGAAGCTTCCAGCTAAGTGGTGATGGGGGGACTCCCGAACAGGGACTCTGCCCCGGAACCAGTGCACAGAGGCTGGCAGGTCCGGGCGGCTGAAGGAGCAGTTCAAAATGACCCAGTCGGAGATCCTGAGGGACCCTGGGGGGCTGGCAGTCACTGCTCAGGGATAAAGGAGGTTTGATTAGCCCTACCGCAAACACCTGTCTTCTCCTAGAAAACAAAAGGCAACCCTCCTCCCACCACCACCCTGCAAAGCCCCCTTCCCCCGCCCCCCCCCCCCCCTTCAGCCAGGGCCCTGTTACCTGGAGATATTTAAAATGGTTGCTCTGGGCCCTCCTGCCTCCTTCCCCTCCCCCCCTACACCCCTGCCCCCCCCTTCCCTTTCTGCAGACTTTGCCTGAGGATCCCCACTAAGCCCACCCCCTGAGCTACAGATGTCTGAAATGAGTCACTCCAGCCCTGCACTCTCCCCCCAACCCAGGGGTGCCTCCCCTCCTCCACCCTGGCACTCCCAGTGTGGGTGGGGGAGGGGAGCTCCAGGGTGAGACAGTCTCTCGGTAGGGTCCTCTCCCCACACACGTGCTCCCCTGGGGGGGCCCCCTGCCACTCTGCTCCCCACCCCCTCCTGCTCCCCTACTAGGGGCTCTCGGCCGGGACCCCGGGCACCTCCTGGGAAGCACAGCCCCTACCCCCAGCCCTTCCTGCCTCCGGGGCGACGGGGACCGCGGCGCCCGGCCTCAGCCCCGCCAGCCCCGCTCCCCGCGGCCCGCCCCCACCTACTGGATGCCTGGCCCACGCGCAGACGGAGGCTGCAGGCGAGGGAGCGGTCCCGAAGGTGCACCGCCGCGCGGTAGTCCCCGGCGTCGGCGCGTCGGGCCGGGCGCAGCCACAGCGAGAAGTCCCCGCGCTGGAGGCCGCGGTCTTCCAGCCGCACGCGGGGCTGCAGGGGCGGCCTCCCGCTGCGCAGGCCGCCGGGCGCCAGCCTCAGCACCACGTAGCGGCGCGGCCCGGGGCCCCGGGCGGAGGGCGCGGCGGGGCGCAGGCTGGGCGCGGGAGCTGGAGGGCTGCTGGGCGGGAGAGAGGGACGGGGTTGAGAAATTCGAGGGCGAAGAAGCCTGCGCCACTTCGAGGAGGAGGAAAGCCACCCAAGAGGCGATCTCTTGCCCGCTAACCGTCCCCATGCCCGTCTCCCCTCGGGTTGGGCCAGCGCCACCCACTCCCTGGAGAGGCAGGTGTGGAAGGGATGCAGGTGTGAGGGGAGCAGTCTTTCCCAGGAAAGGCAGCGGGGCGGGCGGGGTTGGGGGGAGCTGAGCCACTGGCTTCAGAGAGACTGACAGCTCAGCGGAGGAGACCGATGGCTAGACTGGGCCTGGGGTTATGAGTAGGGATGCCAATGCTGCTGGATTTGGGGGATCCTGTTGCCCGAGTTACGGATGCATACCTGTCTGGTAGATGGTGCCAAGTGACCCCTACGGTTCGCAGAAGGCTGACATCCTGGGGAGGGATTGTGGGCCTGCAGGGGAGCTGAGCGGGAGCCCCCTCCTGGGCCCACACCACCATTGGGACCTCTGTCCCAGACCCTGGAGCCTCCACTGGGGAGGAAAAAAGAGGCCAAGGGGAGGGGCCATGAGCCAAAAGACTTAGGAGTAGAGAAGGAGCCTCAGTTACCTGAAGGAGACACAGGGCTGAGGAAGACCTTGGGTTTCTGTCCCTTCCCCACCCAATGGGAAGACTAAAGAGAGGCTCTGGGGGCAGAAGGACTGCCCCAAGCAAGGCATTAGAAGAATCCACCCAAGCTAAGGACCTTGGCATCTGTGAGGTCCAGACATTCCTGCTCACCACCCCCTCCCCACCTGTGGGTCTGGAGGGCAGCCCTCCCAGAGGGTCAGCCCCATCTTACCTGGAGCCACCCACCGCAGTTGCAGAAGCAGCAGAACCAGGAACTGAGCCTCCCACATCTCCCCTTGGGCCTGGGCCACGCTGAGCCCCCAAAGGGAAGAGGTCAGAAAGAAGGGAGGGACAGATGGACAAAAGAGAGTTCTGCAAAGATTTGGGGTGGAGGAAGGGAATCTAGAAGAGGGACAAGGACAGAGACCTAGAGATAGAGGGAAGAGCCAATGACGGGAGGCTGGAATCTAGAGGCAAGCTGGCCAGATCAGGCAGCAGGAGTTGGGGGTGGGGGGGACGGGAGGTTCCCAGCAAATGGGCAGGGCAGTGGCAGAGAGTAGAGTGGAGGCAAGGTGGCTGTCTTGAGCTGGGAGGCAGTTCTGCTGCTCCAGGGCCCTTGCCCCTGTCCTTCTGCCTTCCCACCACCTTCCCCACTTCCCCTCCCCGTCGCCCCCCCCACACACACCCCAAGGCTCACAGTTTCGCTTCGCAGTGGAAAGTCTGAGGGGGTTGATTCCCAGCAGCATTACCCTCCACTTCTGTGGTGGCGCTCCCCTTGTTTATTTCCTCAGTCCTGGGTGTCCCCACCGAACCCTCCCCCTCCCCCACCCATCTGACTATTCCTCCTACCCTGGGCCTTCTGTGTTCTCTCCAAGCCATTTCTTCCTAGACTACCTGCTTGCCCAACTCTAAACTGCTACTCCAGTCCCAACATTAACACTTTCTTCTTGGCAAGCCCTTTTCTTGGTACTCCTCTTCTCCTTCATTCCCTTAACCTTCCAGGACTTTCACTCAGCCTCCCCACCCATCCCATGGCTCTTTGGGAATAAAGCAGACCTAAAAGATGGCAGGTGTGGGGCGGGGCACCCCAAGTCCCCGGAAAAGGAAAGCTACATTATAATGAGCCTTCACTATATACTAGTGAAGATATGGGGTGGAGAGACTGTATTGGATACTTTACAGACAGTAACTCATGAAATGTATCCCCCATTGTACAGATGAAGAAACTGAGGCAGGCTCAAAGATTAATTGACCAAGGTCAGTTAGAGAGTATGAAGCCAAAAGGGGTCTGTAGTCCAGACTCTGGATGAGTTATGCGTGTCCTCTTGAAGAATGGTGGGGTCAATGTGTGTCACACCCACACACACTCCTCCAGTTCAAGACCCCTTTGTGCTCAGCAGCTTTTCCCGATCCATAGGTTTTAACTAACAAGGCAAGGGAGATAGGGAGAAATTCTCAAACAGAGACCAAACTCAAGAAAAACTGAGAACTAGAGAAGGAAGTCTGACTGACAGGGGAACTCTTGCTCCCCACCCCACCCAGCCAGAGGAGCCTGGCCCAGAGAGCTGGAGCCTGAGTGCGAAGACCTTGTACCACACCTGGGAACCACAACAGGCCCTGGACTTCTCCCCTGCCCAACAGAGTGCTCACTTCCTCCCTGCCTGGTGGAGGACAGGTTTGATGCCAGACAACTCTCTCTCCAGGTCCCAGGAGGCTGAGACCCAGGCCTCTCATCCCTCTCCCACTTCAGGGGCGGGACTTCCTGTTTCTGACGCTGCTTCTTTGCCTGGTTCAGCACAACAGAGCTGGTAGCTTTCCACTGGGCTCAGCAGTGTCTAGACCTGGTGTGGGCCAGCAGGGAAGTGTGTATGTTCTGCTGGGGAGGAGCATCCCCAAGAATCCAAAACCAGGAAAGAAGTTAGTTCTCAAAGAAGCTGTAGGCTCCGGGTCCACCCCTGGAACACTGATCTTGTCTTCTTGAGTGGTGGCTGGTAGCAGGGCTTGGCTGCTTTTTTATAGAAGGCAGGGTCCTGATGGAATGTGCCGTCTGCCACCCCCCTCCCTCTGTCCCCGGAAAGCAGGAGACAGGTTAAAAACAGAAGCGCGACCGTTTCTTTATTAAATTATACAAAAAGGGGAGGGGAGAGGAGGGGGGCAGCTGTGGGGCTCGGCCCCAACCCTGGCCCCACCCCGGCCTGGCGCTGTCTGAGAGAAGGGGATCTGAGGGAGACCCAGGGATCAGGCAGGGTAGGGATGGACAGGACATGAGGCTGGGATGCAGAGGTGAGGAAGGAGAGGCTACTGGAGGAGGAGTGGGGGAAGGGAGGAAGAGAGCAAGGACAGGAAGAAGAGCAATTGGGACCAGCTGGGGAGCTCAGATGGAGCAGGTCAAGAGGTGGAACAATGGCAGAGTGAGGATAGAAGGGGCAGTGTCTGGAGAGGCAGACATGAGAAAGGCTGGGGACAAAGAGGGTGGCAGCTCTGGTGCAGGGTCCAGAGCCAGGAGCCAGGTGGAGAGTGGCTGCACTCGTCTGTTCCCACCCCCACCTCCAGGCCCTGAGGGGCCTCCCACCCCCAGCCCATTGGCAGGGGGCTCATGCCGACGCCCCATTTTCTGTCTTCTGCCGCTTGGGATCCGCTTCATCCTGTGGAAGGAGAGTTGGGGTAGCTGCAAAACAGGAGCGGGACCTCCCCCTGTCCCTGCCCTGCTCCAGCCCCACCCCACGCACCACAGGGATCCAGGTCCAAGTCCAAAGGGCTCCCAGCCCCTGCTGCATCCCTGACAGCCCCTCAGGCCCCACAACCCAGCCCAAACCTCCTCTTCAGCAGCTCTCTTCAGCGCGGGCCCTTCGTCGTCATCTTCTTCTTCTTCCTCATCTGAGGAGCCAGAAATGGGTCATTGGGGAAGGGCAGGAAGCTCTGGCACAGACCCCCTGTGGTTGCCCTCAGCCCTGCTTCAGGTCTTCAAACCCACCCTGACTCAGTTCCTTTGAGCCCAGCCTCCCCTGCCCCTCCCCACCTTCTTCTTCCCCTTCATCCTCCTCCTCTCCGTCCTCAGCAGTTTCTTCTTCTTCCTCCTCGGCTCCGTTCTCCTCCTCCTGTGAGGACAGAGAGAGGGGAGAGGGAGCAGCGTCAGGCTGCTGGGTGCCTCCACCACCACCAAGGGCAGGGGCGTCTGGAGGGGCCAAGGGTGGGGCAGGAAGGGTTGGGAGGGGCCAGAGCCAAGGAGGACCCAGCTACCCCCCAACCCCAGGGAAGTGGAGGGGAGCCCCGAGTCTCTTCCCCCAACCCCTCCGACCCCTCCGACCCCTCGGCACCTCCACCACTTCTTTCTTTCGCTCTTTTCGGCTGGCTTTCTCCTCCACCTTCTCTTTCTTCTCCTTCAGGTCCTGCAAGAGAGAAAGAGGTCACCTTCCTCTCACCACAAATGAGCTGCAGCCGGTCCCTCTCGCCCCGTTCTCCTGCTGCAGTGAGCTCAGAGGACTGGGAGAATGAAGGAGTTGGCTACAGTAGCTTAGAGGCAAACAGAGGTCCCAGGGTCCTCAAGGCCACGAGGGAGCTGGGACCGGACACCTGCCCAAAGACTCAAGGGAGGAGGGAGAGTGATGAAAACAGAGGAATGGATGGCCGAGGGAACTGCGCTTCACTCCCATCAAGTTCTCCAAAATCTCACCGGCTGAAGAGTTCAGCTCAGCAAAGCAAATCCCCTCCATCTGCTGCAGCCCTGACGCCCCACCCCCTCTTGAGGGCCCTCCGCCTTCCTGGCCTGCCCCCTCCCGCTGCCTGCCCTGCTCTGCCTTTTGTCTACCTCTGGGGCCTTTTCCTGAGTACTCTCTCCTGGGCATCCCTCCCAGCTTCCCCCTCAGGCTCCTTGAATGCCTTTGTTTCTCTGTCCATGTGTCCCCCTACCCCTCAGGCTCCTCCGTGGCCAAACACCACGGGAACAGGGAGAGCACCCCAGCAAGACGCACACCTACTTCAAACCAGTTCGAGTAGTTTCTTCCTCCCTACACCTGGCGGGTGGTGTGGTGTGCTGTGCCCTGGCGCTGGCACTGGTGTGGTGAAGGGACCATTTCCAGGGGCAATGTCGGTAAAGGAAGATGAAGGAAACGTGGGAGGGAGAGGGTACTGGACATGGTAGATGAAGAGAGACAAGGTCTGTGTCTGGGCTGGGCTGAGATGAGACTGAAGATACCTGTCTGGGATACCCTCCCTCCTTCATCCCCCCAGGAGCCCAGCAGGCGCACATTTAACGTCCCATTCTGCTGTGACAGATGGAGATGCTCCCGAGTCCCTTCTCTCTGGATACCACCCGTGTCTTCCAGTTTAGATTCCAGTCCTCTTTCCCCCCCCCAACCCTCCCCAACTGCCCATGGCAGGCACTGATCAGCTGTGGGTGTCCCTGTGTGATCTGATCTGGTGTTGGCGTACAACTCTGTGTATCTGATTCCATGTGGATGGAAGTTTTCTGTGTGAGTAGATCACCCTGGAGGGTGTGTCCTTTCTGGACCAGGATCAGGGACAGCAGAGTAGGGGTTGGTGCAGAACGGCTGACCTGGAGGGACACTCAATTCCCTTCTCCCTCTAAGAGGAAAACGGACACCAGACCCTCTCACTCCAGCTCGGTTTCTTCCTGTCACTTCCCCGTCCTCATTTCTTTGCCCCATGGTTGACAGGGCATCTCTACCACCTGGTGGGCTTTCCCCGGCATCCTGGGCCTTTCCTGGGCCTGGAGAGCCGGGGGCTGGCTTCTCTCCAGGGGCCCCAGCACCAGGTCTGTCTATGCTCCCCTGGCCTGAGTTTCCCATCTGGGCTGCCCAGACAGAGGGAGGGAGGGAGGGAGAATTCTAGGAAGGGAGGGAGGGAGACTACTGGAGACCAAAGTCCAAGGGGCCGGGCCCTCTCCTCCCCTGTCCTGTCCTTCTGGTCACTGTCCTTCCATGATCCCTTTTCCAGGAGAGTGTGTGACCTAGGTCTTGTGCTAAGCAGCTCTCTGGCCTCATTTACTCAACACAGGCACACACACTGACACAGGCTGACACCAATTCACACACACAGCTACAGAGGAGGGCCCATGAGATCCGGAGACACATGGCCTGGGTCTGGGCATTCTGGCACACACTCCTGAGACACAGCAGAGCGCAGGGGAGCCACTGGCACTCACAAAGCAGCAACATGGCTCCAGCACATCCGCGTCTCCACATGCACACATGTAACTGACACGGGCAGTCCCACACACTCGCTGGATTTCAGACATACAAAGACACCTACTCAACGGAGTCACATGCCACCGCACAGCCCACCGGAGGGCCCCACGGCACACCTTATCAGCTTTCACACGTAGCCCCTCGCTGCCACTGCCTTTAAACCCACTGGTGGCCCCTTTTCACTTCTGGGGCCTCTAGGAGCCCTCTGTGACCTCCTCAACAACCAACCCCCCCCCCACCCCATACAAGTCGGGCTCCCAGCCCCCAAACGCTGGCCGAATTAATTTCCCAAAGCGACACTCAGCAGGTTCCCTAGGGAAATTAGAGGAAGGCTGGAAGCGAGGCAAGGGCAAAGGGATGGGGCCAGGAAAGGGAGCCGATGTGAACAAGGACGGCTCGAAGCACCGTCTTGCAACGCTGAGCTTCAGCTTTCTCGAAGGCTATTCCCGCCTCCCTTCATGATTTTTAGGAATCCAAGACTCTTTAAGTCTGTCTGTGTTGGGGAGTGGGGGGAGAGGCTGGAGGGGGCTATGGAGGGAAAAGAGAGCTGAAGACCAGTAGGGGGAAGAAATGGATACAGACGGAAGAAAAGGAGAGGAGAAGACAGACAGAGACACTAGCCGTCCGAGGAGAGAAGCAAGAGGCAGTCGGGCCTCGAGGGGAGGGGCCCGAGAGCAGCAGCCTCCCGGGAGAGTCCTGTTTACTCTGGAGGATCTCAAACCGCTTAGCGGAGGAAAGGTGAGGTCAGACTGGAAGGAGAGACGGGGAAAGGGGGCGCGAAGAGAGGCAGCGGGGGAGGGGCACGGTAAAGTGAGCCGCGGCGCGCTCCGACGGGAAGCGGACGGGGTAGAGGCGCGCGAGCCGGAGCCGGAGAGGGGTGGGGACGACGGCGGGGGCCGGGCGACGGCCGAGCGGCGAGGCCGGAGCGGCGGCGTGCAGCGCTCAGGAAGCTAGAGGGCGCTGGCGGGAGCCGCGCGAAGCCGGGTAGGCTGCGCCGGGCAGGGGAGCGGGGGGGAGGGCGGAGAGGGGTCCACCGGGACCCGGCGCCGGGGCAGCGTGGGGCCGTCGGGGGCGGCGTGGGGCGCAAGACCGCGCGGAGCCCGGGGGTCGCGCGGGGTCCGGGCCGCCGCTGTCCCTGCCCGTACCTTGGCGCTCAACTCGGCCGCTGCCTCCACGCTCTTCTCCGACATGGTGCCGGGGCCGGGGCCGGGGCTGGCGGGGAGCCGGGGTCCCGGGGCCGGGACGGAGGGGCCCTGGACGGCGGAGGGTGGCCGCGGCCGGAACCTGGCGCGGTGACGGCGGCGGCGGCGACAGCGGCAGCGGCAGCCGCTCAGCAAGCTGGGTCTCTGGAAGAGGCGGCAGAGGCGCGCGGGGTGGGGCGGGGGTGGGTCTGGAACGGAGACCCGCAGGGCTGCGGCCGTCCGGAGGGCGGGCGGAAGGGCGGTGCGGGCGGTGGCCGGCGCGCTCCGGCCGTGGTAGCTCGGTCCTCGGCTCGCCGCCCCCGCACCAACAGAGCTGCCGCCGACCAGCCGCTGCCGCCCCCGGTCAGGGAACCCGCTTATAAAGGCGGCGCTGCCCGACGGGAGGGGCTTCCCAGGGGTGGGGCTGGCGGGAGCGGGGAGGAGAGGAGAGGGGAGGGGGATGAAAGCGGAGGTTGGCGAGGTGGGGATAGGAGGATGAAAGCGAGGGGAGGGAGCGCGCGAGAGGCGGGAGGGAGGACAGGACCAGAAGGGGGAAATGGAGAGACTGACGGTCTCGGAGAAAGGAGTGGGGCGAGGAGGTGGGAAGGGGTGGGGTTCCTGCGGGGAGGGACCTCTCCGAATCCCGACCTACTGCCTGCGAAAGTGGAGTCTGTCTTTTGGGGGCGGACTGGAGGGATGGCCAGAATCCTTCTGACCCTCCCCCTCACCTCCCAAGAAACCCTGAGATTTTGCCAAGGGTTGGGGTGGGAGAAGCCGATGGAAAGGCCGGGCAGGTATTTGAGAAACCAAAAGCTTAAAGAAGAGGAAGAGGGTGGCGGAGCTACTTCCACATCACGCTGGCTTTCCCCTCTCGTCTTGCATCTCCTTTCTCTGGGTGGCCTTAAGAGGGGATGGGAGGGCCAAAAGGGCAGTCCACGCTCTGTCCCGGCTGGAGGCTGACTTTTGTGAACCCTACTGGGTTCCGCCCTTCCTGGATCTTTCTGGAGATCTAGAGGAGTCAGAGGCCCTCCAGGCTCCTTCCTTCTCTTCCATGTTGGACCTCTCCGATTTCACCCATCTCATCTCACTTGTCTTTACCTGGTCTTTTTCTCTTCATCCCAGCTCATTCACCTTGACCCAGACCCCTCCCTCACAACCATTTATCCCTCACATCTCTCAAACTTGTGTAGCCTCTTCCCTGCTTCTCATTCCCCTCTTCTTCCCTTCGATCTCTGATCTCCCTTTCCCCCTGTCCCATACCACACTGTTCCTGTCTCATCTGAGTCTATCACCTGGCCCTGTACCCTTGGTGATCCCCCAACTTCTCTCTTCAGGTCCTGATTGGTTTACATTTTCAATTTGCTTTTCTTTTTCCTCTGCTGCCATCTTCCTGAGCCTTTCTGGATTGTATTTGCCTCCTTTGCAAGGGGTTCAGGCCTGGAGTTCCAGCCCCACCCCGTTCCACTCATCCTCAGTTCCTGGCCCGCAATCTTGGTATCTTTGGATCATTTTGAGAAGCTTGGGGGTTTCAGGAGCTGGATGTATTAACGGTCAGGAAGGTGGATGGAGTGGAAGGCTAGGGTTTGGAAAAAGATATCCTTGGTGTGTGCGCACTTCTGTATTTGTCTATCATTATCATTGTCTTTTCATTTTCTTAATAAGAAAGACACTGATCAATCACCATCATTTGGTATCTGAGTGCTTAAATATACCATCTTTTGGTCCTACGGTGTACACACCTCCCAATTTCTCTTTCTCACTCTTCCCATCAGTTTCTCAGTCTCCATCTCCTCAAAAATCTTGGAGCCCCACCCAGGTTTTTCCTTTCCGGACTCGAATCATCTTTCTGTGAGACCGTCCCATCTCTATCTCAGTCTGTTTCTCTGACTCACTCACTGATGTCTTTGGCGATCTCTGACCCTCTCCATCTCTGTACTCTCCTGCTTCATTTCTCTCCCTCTCCCCTCTCCTTTACCCCCCCACCCAGTCTCGCTGTCTCGCTCCCTCCCGGCACTCTCTTTCCTCTCCCTCCCACCCTCCTTTCCTCTTCCCCTTCTCCACCTCCGAGCCCCGCCTGCCGGTCTCGGACACCCTGCTGGGCTCTTACCCTGTTGCCCTGGTAACCGCCCCCCACTCCGGTCACCTCCAATCCCCTCCCCCCCCTCCAATCACCGCCACCAACAACCTCCATCCACCTTCCTCCTATTTTCCCTGAGAACCAATAGAAACCCTGTTGCCAGGTGGAATGCTCATTTGAATCAGCCAATCCAGGAGTCTAACTGCTTGCCCTGCCTTATATGGGGATTTGAGGAGGGCCACTCCCCCCACTCCAGCCCCACAGGGGACCAGCCCCTCCACTGTCCTTTCTCCCCGCCCTGGAGAGAGCCTGGGACCCTCCCTGTCACCCTCCAATAGGGGCCTGGCCTCCCATTTCTCTAACTGGAACCACCGGGGTTAGTGTGGGGAGTGGGCCGGACTGTGGGCTGGGCCTCTGGGCTGGGGGTGGGAATGAGGTGTGATTAGGAAAGGGAGGCGGAGGGAGCCGGGAATTTTGCCCAGGGAGGGGTGTCTGGGAGCGGAGGCAGCTGCAGTGGAAAATTCCAGGGAGATGGAGAGGCAGAGAATGGGAATCCTGCCCCAAGGCCCAAGGGAGTGCCTTGAGAATCTAAGAGTTTGGACACTAGGGTCCCCAGGGACCACAGGAAAAAGATCCATGAAGCAGAAAGCCTAGATCTAATTCCCTTCCTGCAGGGGAGAAGCTTCCCTTATCCTTTCCTGTCTGGTTGGACAGCAGACCCGGCCTCCTGACGTCTTGGCTTCATGAGAAAGAAGCTAGAAGTGGAACTTGGGATGAATCTGGAGCAAGTGGGATGCTGAAAGCCTTACCCCATAGTAAGGGTTAGGGTTAGTCTCTGAGCCTCTGGGGTCAGTGGTGTTAAATGGTGCCAGCTAGTGTTTGCTCCTTCCAGAGAACTACGTCTGAGGCCTTGTAGAGGCTTGCCTATTCCTAGAGTTCCACTACTCCTCAGTCCAACTGAGAATTTCTCCCACTAGCTGAATGGGGAAACCCGCTTCTTACACATTTTCTGGAGGTGGGAAAAAGGAAGCCAAGGGAGGCATGAGCCCTCTGGAAACCATGGCTGCTGGCCTGACATCCTAGGGATTTACGTCGTTACTGTGCGAAAGGTGTTCAGTTCAAACTCTTGCCATCTGATTCTTAATTCTTGCTCTTCTCCAGCTTCCTGATTTTTTTCAGCTTGCCTGTTTCTCTAATAAGTTAAGTGCTAAGGAAGGCCTGGTGATCCTTGGGGTCATTAGACAACAGAAACCTGAAAGTTGAACCTCCCCACTCCTCACTGTACTTTTTTATCCCCATTCCAGTTGCAGTATAACTCATTTTCTTTTCCTTACTTTTCCTTTTTTTTTCTTTTCTTTTTTTAATGGTTTCAAAACTCAAGTCAGTGGAGAGTTGAGAGGGACTCCTCGAGAGAGACCTAAACCAGCCTAGGTTTGATCATGTTTGTTGCCTGCAGGAATGTCCCTTAAGTCTACGGCCATACCACCCTGAACGCGCCCGATCTCGTCTGATCTCGGAAGCTAAGCAGGGTCGGGCCTGGTTAGTACTTGGATGGGAGGAATGTTCCTTAAGAAAGCCTCTTCACGGGGCACCTGGGTGGCTCAGTGGTTTAAGCTTCTGCCTTCGGCTCAGGTCATGATCTCAGGGTCCTGGGATCAAGCCCCGCATCGCATCGGGCTCTCTGCTCAGCAGGGAGCCTGCTTCCCTTCCTCTCTCTCTGCCTGCCTGTCTGCCTACTTGTGATCTCTGCCTGTCAAATAAATAGAATCTCTAAAAAAAAAAAAAATTAAAAAAAAAAGAAAGCCTCTTCACGGGGCACCTGGGTGGCTCCGTGGGTTTAAGCCTCTGCCTTCGGCTTGGGTCATGATCTCAGAGCCCTGGGATCAAGCCCCACATTGAGCCCCACATTGGCTCTTTGCTCGGCAGGGAGCCTGCTTCCTTCTCTCTCTCTCTGCCTGCCTCGTGATCTCTCTCTCTGTCAAATAAATAAATAAAATCTTAAAAACAAACAAACAAACCAAACTTGGGGGTTCCTCCTTGGTGTCAGACACTGTGCTCTGTGATGGAGACACAAAGCTGAAAAAGAGATGGTCCCTCCCCTCAAGGAATAGATGTGGAGAGCTCAAAGTACAGCCAGAATAGGGACATGCAGGGGCTCCTGGGTGGCTCAGTTGGTTAAGCCTCTGACTTCAGCTCTGGTCAGGATATCCAGGTCAGGGGATGGAGCCCACATTGGGCTCCCTGCTCAGCAGGGAATCTGCTTCTCCCTCTCCCTCTCCCTCTGCCACTCCCCCTGCTTGTGCGCTCTTTTGCTCTCTCTCTCTCAAATAAATAAAATCTTTTTTAAAATTTAAAAAAAAGTCCTTTGGAAAGGGACACGGATCCAGCACTCTTTCCACTAGGCAGATAGAACACTGTCTCCATGGGTACACTTTTCTAGAATGTCTCCTGGATCTCTCCTGATTTTACAAATCCTTACCCATTGTTCCCAACTCAGAATAGGCTCCCTTCGTTCCTCCACCCTGTTCCTCCGCCCTTACCGATTGTCTCCTCCTGTGCCAAATACCTAGCATGATGCTAGGTACCAAAGAGGAAGAGCTCAATAAATCATTGACTTCCTAGCCCTGACACACCATTTTGGCCTCATTTTCAGAGCCCTCTCAACCTTCTTTCTTTGAGTAGGTTTCTCTCTGACTTGGGATCTTCTAACTACTGATGTCCTGGCGGCCGCTGTCTTTTATGCTATCATCCTCACAACCAAAAGTTGTGTGGCTTTCCTACTTCCCCATGAATGTTCTCTCCAGCTAGAAGAATTGGTTTTACCATCCTGCGTCTCCTCCAGATTTTCTGATTGGCTTTGTAATTCTCCCTGCCCTCTTCCTGACCTCCTTCACTTTTTAGACCAAGCATAGTTGCCACTGCCCAACCCTCTACTGCCCTCCTTTCTGTTTCTCCTCCTTGCCTACGCTTTTCAGAAAGCCTTCACAGGCCTTTAGAAAAGTCCGGAAGGAAGATCACATTTATAGATAGTTTCTGGGTCTGCCCAATAATTTTTTTTTTTAAGAAATACATTTACTTTTTTTTTTTTTAAGATTTTTTATTTATTTGACAGAGAGATCGCAAGTAGACAGAGAGAGAAGGGGAAGCAGGCTCCCCGCTGACCAGAGAGCCTTATGTGGGGCTTGATCCCAGGACCCTGAGATCATGACCTGAGTGGAAGGCAGAGGCTTAACCCACTGAGCCACCCAGGTGCCCCTGCCCAATAAAATTTACTGTGATCATGGAAGTGTTCTATATCTGCACTTTCCAATACAGTGGTCACTAGCCACGTGTGGTTATGAACCCTTGAAATGTGGCTCCTGCAGCTAAGGAACTGCATTTCTTAAGGTTATTTAATTTTAATTACATTTAAATAGCCACCTATGGCTAGTGGCCGCCATATTGGACAGCACCACTTTATACCTCAGCCGTAACCTGTCTCTTCTTCATCCACCTTCATGCCCTTCTCCATCCCCAGTGTTCCATAGGTAGAATGGCGAGAGCAACTCTGGCTGCCATGCTGAAGGTCATCTGGGCTGTTATCATACACTTCACTGTCGGTGCAAGTCTATTCAGGGTTCCCACACTTTTACAGGTTAAACAGACGATGTGCCTGAGGTAGAGGACAGAGAGTAGAAATGAAAAGTCTAGAAAAGTCTAGGGGAAATGTTATGGAAGTGACTGCTAGAGACTCCTTTTGCCCACAGGGTAAAAGACAGGAGGGAGGACCCAGGAACCAGGAGGAGGCGATGACAGCGGTGCCTGAACCCTTCCAGGTGACTGGTCTCAGAGGTCCTGTTCTTACTCTTCACAGTCTCCCTTCTGGTCATCAATCCCTCGGTCCTCTGGAGCTCCTCAAACCCTGCATGATCCCACTGAGATTCTTTCGCTTTCTAGTTCAGTTAAAGGTACTGTCCTCTACCCATTCATTCCTGCCACGGGGTCATCCAAGACCACCTTTTCTTTACCTCCCCAGCTCCTCCACTTTCTAAAGATTCCTGGAGTGCCTCCCCTTCTGTCCAAACTCAGTCCTGTCTCTGCTCC